CGCGGTGACGTAACGCGCAACGCTAACGTAACCGTAATCAACGTCCTACTGTGACGTGGCACTCATTACGCCACAGGCAAGCACTGCAGCTATATAAGTGGATGCACAGTGCGTATCGATCAGTTCGAGTTCGAGTTCCAGTGTGGCTACCGCCGAAGACATTCCGAGTTATAAAGTAACAGTCAGCCGACTACAGTTGGAGTATAGCAGCCGTCGCGGTAAGAAGATCCGGACGTGTGTGCGATTGTGTAATTGGGAGCGTGTGATACAGTGATACATAGCTCCCCTACTGTAAACGTGAAGACAAGTGAAGACGGTGTTAAGAGATTTTATTGTAGGGTTTGTAAAGTGTGGAAACCCGCGATATTGTGATAATTAATTGTAGCCGTTATTTGTAGATTGTTAAATAAACCCAATTAACCATCTCTACGGCGTATTCGGTAACGTAAACACGTTACAATATTATAGGGATGGAAATTAAGATGTTCGTGAAGAATTCGGCGCACTGAATGATTGGATATGTCTAGGGCAACTGCATGTTTGCGAGCAGAGCGTCTTGGAGACCTCAAAATCGACTGTCAAACTGCCTCCACATTCTCTGGTGTTGTAACGGTCTGTTGTCATCCTGATGATTTTTTCACCCCACAAAACAACTGATTTCCGGTCGGGAGCTGGACCTCTGGGCTTAATTCCGAAGTGAGTACGGAACGCACGCTGCACCGCCACATAGGAATGGTTGTTAGAAAAATAGGCTTTGACAGCAAACGCACGCTGCTCACTCGTCCACCTCATGTTTCCTACTGAGGGGTATTAGACAGAAACTTCCGCGACTGCTGCGTTCGCCGAGCCTATCCCCACTTTTCTGTGACCTCCCCTCCCTTCACAATGCGTCTTCACAAAAAGGAAGTTTCTGTGCCCCACCCTGTATGAAATTAGAGTAAAATGGATAGTCACACATTATCTGAGGTATGTCATACTTGGAATAGGCAACCTCCCTGTGTGTTCAACAAGATCTCTGGTATGGTGATTTTGGTTCCCATCGCAGACTGTAAATAGAATATAATAGCTTTCTGATGGTGATTTGAGGATCTACACCACTAGCTGATGATGGCACACCCCCAAAGATGTCTTAGGCACACATTTATAAAAAGCTTCACCATCTAATATTGACAAATAAAGAATAAAATGTTTAGAGAATGAAGCATGCATGATGGCAAAGAGGTCACTCAGAAAAAAATAGGTAAAGATGGAAGTTGGGAGGATAATATCAAAATGGGAAACTTACGTAAATAATGTGTGAACATCTGAACTGGATCAAGATGGCACAGGATATGTCAAAATTAGCTCTACAGTATGAATTAATTTTTTTAATATTTACTCTCTTTTTTTAATTTCTCACAGATCCTGAAAGCTAAATTTGTAACTTGCTTTAGCATGATGGCCTCTGTTGACATGACACAATTATGGTGGCATAGATAAGCATGATTTCTGTCGTGGAGAAATGTCTGGCAAACATAGCTTTTGTCTGGCTGGTCAGGTGGAACAACTAGTGTCTCTGTTTTATGTTATGTGCCAGTTTTCTCCATGATTCGTTTTTTTGGGGAGGGGGGAATGAAAAACAGAAAGTTTGGTTTCAGCTTCTTGCAAAGCATAACCATGGTCTGAAATTTATTTGTTTACAAACAGTAACAGAAGTGACATATGAACAGACTTTGTACTTCATTCTGAAACAGTGATAATGCCTATGTTGTAGTGGAGACACGATTTCCATCTTTTCATATTATGATCATCTGGGTTATAACACTTTGTTGAACTGAGCATAGTGGTATAGTGATAATGCTTTGGACTCATATTCAGGGGGTGCTCTGCTTGAATTTCAGTCAAAGCACTGACTATCATGACTTTTTTGTGATATTCCTCGGTCCCTCTGGGCAAATGGCAAGATAGTATCTCAGGACATGAGCACTTCCAATTCCTTTATAATTCACCATTCATCTATCACTCTACTATTCGCTGCTACACAGTCTAGGTCTGACAGCACCATGAAATAACCCCCCTTTCCCCCCCAAATATGGAGGGAGTATGTTTCTCTGAAATGTTTGTACTAACTTACGAGACTGTAACAGACTGTCATAACCCAGAGGACTGCAATGTGAATTTTCATTGCTGTGAAGACTCGAATCTTATAAATTCCTATTGCTCCTTTGCTGATGGCTTAACCATATGAACACAATTCAAGATGGCAAACATTCCAAAAATATTTACAAATATCCCTGCTGGTAAAGAAAGATAGTGTATTCAACTGAAACAGTTTATACATAACTAAAGCTACATTTCAAAGAAAAATTACTAAGTCACTGCATAATGAATGAATTCTGTTAACTATATGAAAATATATATTTGAAACCAGGGAAGGCACCATCTGTCTTCCTTCACAAAACTGTTTCTGAACCTTTCTCAGCTGATGTGCTGCTGGGTCTCATACTAAAATATCATATACCCTTTTCATTAGCAACTTCATGTGTATCTCAACTGAGCTTTGTCATGCATTATGAACACAACACAATACAGAGACCTTTTCATTATAAACAGACTTTTTATTCTGCCATATTTTAGGTATCAAGATGTAGTTTTGAACCCTTTAAAACTGTATCTGGCAATGTATGAAATATATCTCGTGTACCATGTACAAAGATTTGCATACTCCCGGAGTATGCATATACCCCCACTTAGAACTTCTACTCAATATGTCCTTGAAGATGGAGGCAGCATGTTCCTCTGAAACATACGACTGCATGCTGTCAACCTAGAAGGCTGCACTATTTATTCTCTAAATGAATTTTTCCAGAAAAATCAAAATACAGAGAAGACAGGAGTTCAATGAGTCAGATGTTACAAGGAACTGTTTCCTTAAGTGAAGCTATTTTTCTAGCATACATTTTTTTTATATCGGAGTTTCACACACGTGCACGCACGCACGCACGCACGCACACACACACACACACACAACTCCAGTATGATATACTGTAACATACTGCTTAAAATAAAGCATCAAGTAGTAAAAGTAAAAAAGTAAAGTTATCCCTGTAACAGGCCAGGGTTGTAAGACATTGAGGTTCCCACATTTTCTAGACAATTGGATCATAGATGGCGGTAAGGTTGTCAGCCTTACGTGCCGGCTGCTCTTTAGTCCCAAGAATATTTCTGGTACTCATTTCCATTAGAGGCTGAGTTGACCCTAGGGCCATAGTGTGGCTGGAAGAGTAGGTAAATTGAAAAAAATTCACCTCATTGGGATTTGATCCCACGACCTTCTGGCTTGTAGCATAGTGCCTCAACCAACTATGCTACTGGGTGCCACAGCATCACGTAGTTCTAAGGAAAAAGCAATAAACTAATAACTGGCAGGAACAAAGAAATGACCAAAATATTAAGGTTAATGTAAAAAAAAATCTGAAAAATGAAAACCAGGAATTCTTTGTATCACTATTGTGTTTCTTTCCAGAATACTATTAACGAGGTGCATGCATGTGTACATTGTACTCTTGATCCTATCCACTAGTTTCAAATACAGTTTCATACTTATTCTTAACAGTGACTGATATCTCAACTGACAGAGCAATCCACTTCTCCATCACGTGGCAGACAATCTAAAAGGGAAGCAACTGCTCGTGTGACATATGTCATTGTGCCATAGCTACCGCTTGGTGCACTGTCATAAAAATGCTGACAGATATATGCTGCTCCTCCGCACAGAAGTCCCCCGCTAGATGTCATCTCTCGCTGTTCTTTTGGCTTGGCACAGCACAGAGTTGCATCTCCATTAACTTTCATCTGTAACATTATTATCGTATCACTGTGTTACCACATTCACACCTGGGAAACTTATCACTTATTGGCCTGCACCACGTGACCACTTCCCACCAGTACATTCCTCCTGTCTTTACAACACCTTGAAAGACAGAACCCTTTATGCCATCATCTGAACTGGGAACAATATTAGCAGCAGACAATATGATGTCATGTTATACGAGTATCATGGTTTGTGCATCTCAACAAATAATTCCATTCAATTCATTTATTAAAGTGCCTGACAACAGTTAAAAGCCAGCAAGAATCGCAACAGCAGCAGCAGCAGCAGAAGCATGGTAATCATTATTAAATCACAAGTAGTTAAGATAAAAGATAAACTTAAAGAAAAATTAAGATTTACCTGAAAGACTGTGAGAACTGTGTAAAACAAGATTCTATCCACTACCTTTGTTCTTTTCTGAAAAACGGGGATAGCACCGCCAACACTTGATTTCATGGCGGACGATCATGGCCCGGCTCATGGAACTTTTGTGTCCCATGAGAATGCAGTTTCAGAATGATTGTTTTAGACTGGCATAAAACGAAATCTATGTTGCAATTTTATTTACATTTTCTGTACTCATCTGGCAACATGTAAACTGACCAACAGACAGTATTCAGGAGGCGCTTGACTCGAAACTCAGCTGTAATACTGACTATTCTGCCTAAGGTTTTCTGTACTTAGTCACCTCCAGACAAATAGTACCTTAAATTAGACCACAGCCAACACCTCCCACATTCTTTCCAATTCACTATTATCATCTAATCATTTGAGTTTGTGACAGCATCGTTAAATAAGCTAGAGATAAAAACCCCAAAAGATGAAGCAACTTTGTCTTTTTCAATTTCCTTTCCCTTCTGTAGGGTTCAAGGTCCCTAATCCTGTGACTATGAAGGCTACTACCTAGAGAACAGGTTAGTGGTGAAACAGAGACATGAACTTCTGACCTGATCTTCAAGGAAGATCTGGTTGGCCTTGTGCACAAGATTTTCGACTGCAATGATGCCCCCCAAAGAGCCAGCAATGTTGTATTCAGTAACTAATGTGAGCACCATAAGAGCCTCGACAATCAGCTGTCGATATTCTGGCTGGGGAATAGAATTCAGTACTGTCTCCACTGCCAAGGCAAACTTTAGTTCTCCTGGTGTCATCTGCAATGTGAACGTTATAAATGTGAACATAAAAGCATAAACACGACAGTACAAGTCTGCAACTCAATCTGACTAAATAGTCCATGGAGAAGAGCCCTTCTTTGTATGCTAACAGTTGCTCAGCCAGTCACAAAATTCTCCATCTTCTACGGAACCCACATGTTCACTACCACATTCACAAGAGCTCACAAATGGATGTTATCCTCAGTCAGATGAATCCAGTTAAAAATCTCAGTCTTCTTTCTTTTAAGATACATTTTAAAATTATCTTTCCCTCTTCGCCTAGGTCTTCCAAGTTATCTTTCTCTGAGACTTGCCAACAGAAACTTTGTATGCATTTCTCACCTCTATCATTGTAAAAGGAAAAGTTATCTCTGGGCTTAATTAATTAAGCACCAAGTAATGAAGATAAGTAGGGCAGTGGAGATTAGCTCCACTTTTCTTGACCTTGGCACTAGATCAAAATTATCTCACTTGTAATATAAAATCACATCCAAATCTGTTTAACAGTTTCACAGGTGAAACATGTGGATGGATAGACTGCTTCTAGCTCACTTACCTCTTGTGTCAAGTTCTGAGGGAGAACTCTGCCTTCTATGGCAAGTCCCTGACACTGGAACAAACATACATTTCCTATTAAACCTTATGTTTACCACAGTGATTCATGAGTCAGGTAATTTCTTTTTTTAATTCGCTTAGTGGGGGGTGGAGTCCAACTGGGTCCACTCAGCACAGCAGCCACTGATTGGCCTATTGTAGCCTGCCCTGGGTGAATATGATTATGGAGAATTTGGTGGAATGAAGTTGGTAGGGGAAACAGAAGTATTCAGAGAAAACCTGCCACAGCGCCACTTTGTCCACCATAAATCCCACTTGACCAGATCCGGGATCGAACCCGGGCCACCATGGTGGGAAGCCAGCAACTAACCACGTGAGCTATGGCAGGTAGCTCAGTCAGTGTAGTGACTAGACTATGGGTTCAACAACTGGAGAATCTGAGTTTGACTGCTGCTGGGTGCAGAGATTTTTTATTTTTACCACCATTTACATATCAATTCTGGGTCCTACAGCCTCAAAGCTGGTACTGGGGGTAAACTGATTGGAGCACAATGCTATTCACCTCTATCTAGAGCGAAAGAATGGAGCCATACTTCCACAAAAGGCTGAGGCTCACAGTGGGTAGCAGGCATATGGAGGATTGGAGGAATAGCTCCACACATTCTTAACACTGACAATGGACGGAGGTGAGTGGTCAGGTTTGTGGCCCAGCAGATTTGTCCCCATGTCCATTACATGGGAGGCTAGGTGGGCCTCAAAGGCAGTGTGAATACAGTGGAGAAGAAAATATTATTTTCATATTGTGAGGTTTTTACAGTTGCAGTTATGACAAGTTCCCTCTTCTGCGATATAACACTGTGTAGTCTGTTGAGAGTCAACCAGTGTTTCTTCAGGGTTGAAGAATAAGCGAAGCTCTCTGCTTTATGCTGATTTCTTGCTTGACTTACTTTTCTACCCTAAAGATGTAGATGACATGTCTGTAAGAACACTGGTTCACTTTCAGTAGACTACATGGCTTATATCTCAGAAGAGAGAGCTCTTCAGAAAAATCTCTCTCTCTCTCTCTGTTGGGAATTGAATCCTAATTCCTGGGTTGTCCATCACACAGCAATCATTATACTAACTGAATTAGCTCAGCTCCAATTCAAGCAGTGAATGGTGTGTGCGGTACAACTACACACTCTAGTAACAACTAAACTCGGCGAATATGAAGATTACTGTCTTCTGAGATGTGACACTGTCTAGTCTGATAGAAAGGGACCAACGTTTCGGAGGAAGCTGGTGCTTCCATCTTCATGGCAGAAGATAAATTCACCCAAGAAAATTATGGTAGATACAGGCAGAAGGGGAAGAAAATGGGACTGCAAGTGGACCAATGAGGGGTGGTGGCCCCTAAAAGGGCAAGGCCCTGAAATGGTTAGTTGTTAGTATGCTGCTGTCTTGTTTACAAGTTCCATATCTGGTATCTGACAGCTGTTTCATTAGCAAGTTAATCAGTATTTCTAATGTGAAATAAAATAAAAGTGCAAACACACACAAAGAATTTGAGGTTCTCAGAGCAGTGGTTATGAAGAGTTCAACCCGTCTTGTGAGATATAATGCTGTGTAGTCCACTGAAAGCCAACCTGCTTTCATGCTGGTGTCTTGCTTGGCTAATTCTTCGACCCTGAAGCTGGAGGGACATTGGTCGACTTTCAACGGACTGTATGGCATTATATCCCAGAAGACAGAAGTTTTCAGACATGAAGAAATTGCTCTTTTACTTTCCTTCTTCAGTTATATCCTATCTTCTCAATTACACTCAGGCCACGGGAAGAAGTCAAAAGGATTGAACCCTCCCACACATCCCTCAACCTGTTCCACTTCCTCCTCCAGCACACTCCCCTGTATTCCCCCTCAGCAGTCTAGGTGTTTTATTCCTATTGATAATCTTTGTTAATGATAAGAACTTGGGTTGGCTGACATAGGGCGAAGTGGGCTAGAAAGGGATATAACAGCAGGCGGATAGGGAGAAACCTTGACTGTCATCTCCACCATCCACTGGACTTCTCTGCATGGCCTCTGTGGAGTGACAGGTATAATTTCTCTGTGGATTATGTAATGAGGGTAATGAGGTGTAATGAGGGTACTACACTGGCATTTGACTGCAGGAGAGGAGGGAAACGACACAAAACCTCAATGAGGATAGCCGGTCGAACCAAGAACCTCCTGAATATGAGTCTGGAATGATATTGCTGGTCAACCCGCTTAGAATTAACAGGCAGTTTTTCTTTAATTTGCTTAGTAATGGGTGGCGTTCAACCGGGTCCACTCAGCACAGCGGTCACTGACTGGCCAATTGTAGCCTGGCCCAGGTGATTATGATGATGGAGAATTTGGTGGAATGAAGATTGGCTGGGGAAACGAAAGTACTCAGAGAAAACCCGCCCCAGCGCACTTTGTCCACCACAAATCCCACTTGACCAGACTTGGGATCCAACCCAGGCCTCAGCGGTGGGGAGCCAGTGACTAACTGCTTGAGCTATGGCGTGGCCTTAACAGGCACATTAGTAAGGATTTTAAGGGAAGCAGTCATGGCCTATTTCAAGGTACTTTCCCAGATATCCTCATATGAGAGGGTAAGTCAATAAGTAAGTTACAAATGGATACAGAACTTAAACAAATAAGAGTACTGATTTGAAAAATGCTTTTATTTCTCAGCATAATCTCCCTGTACATTGAGGCACTTGTCCCATCTTTTCATAAGCCACTGAAAACCAACAGCATAAAATTCTTTGGACTGCTGTCAGAACCAAGCGTGTTCACACGGCATGGCATACCTCATACTGCATGATAGGTTAGGTTTTCACGAAGTCTGTGCATGACGGGTGCCGCACCTGCTGACCCCACAACACAAAATGCAAAGAATGGGTCTGGCATTACAGCATCTCAATTGCTACCACGATGAAGGACATGATATGCTAGTCCGAATTGTCACAGGTGGTGAGTCTTGGGTTCACCATTACCAGCCTGACACAAATCGTGCGTCAATGCAGTGGAAACATCCTGCATTGCCTGCCAAAAAAAAAATGTTAAGGTGACACCATCCTTCAGGAAAGTGATACTCACAGTCTTCTGGGATCACAAAGGCATACTGCTCACCGCATTCCAGGCTCAAGGACAAACTGTAAATGCTGACTCCTACTGTAACATCCTCAGGAAACTATGTAAGGCCATTCAACAGAAGCATGCAACCTGTCATGCATTATGAGGTAGGCCATGCCGTGTGAACATGCCTGGTTTTGACAGCAGCCCAAAGAATTTTATGCTGCTGGTTTTCAGGGGCTTGTGAAATAATGGGACAAGTGCCTCAGTGTACAGGGAGATTATGTTGAGAAATAAAAGCATCTTTCAAATCAGTACTCTTATTTGTTTAAGTTCTATGTCCATTTGAAACTTACTTATTGACTTTCTTATGTAGATAGCAACACTGTCTGCTCATGCTGGTTCGTTCGCAGATTTCTTCTTTTTCCTTTACCCTGAAGATGGAGGTGATACGTTCCTCCGAAATGTCAGTTAACACAATATCCACACGGTGCCACATCCCAGAAAACTGCTTTCTTCATAGTGACCACTGTGAAAACCTCGAATCTTACAACATTTACATCCGATTCTTCAACAGATGAGACACAATTTTATTATCCGAACTTTAAAGTAAGAGCCAATAGATAATGGTTTTTCTTTTACCTTTTCTAGTACCCCCCAAACACGAGGGTAAAAATTTCTGGGTACCCTGTTGAGTGCTCCATCGAGTCTGCGCCTTCGTAGCCACTGTCCTTGACGGTCTGGTTCAATGTCTTCAATCCCTTCTGAGTCACATCCCAAGAGGCCACCGATCTGACTTTTCTATTAGGAATTAAGAATTTCATCAATACCTAAGTTCTGAAGGTTCTCATTGCAGTGGACATTAAAATTATACTCAAGTTCTGTAGTAAGTTTTCAGTGTTTGGGAGGAACTTTCTTTCTCCACATTCAGATTAGAAGTGACTTCTACCTTGAAGGTGGAGGCAGCAGGTTGCTCTGAAATGTTCACACCTACCTGCCAGATGACATACTGCCATGTGGCATTCACATCAGCCCCTAGCATTATCAGACTCTGAACTGGTTCAATTTTTTGAAGTTTTTGAACATTATCCATCATTCCATTTTTTATTTAAAACAACGTTTCAGAGATTGGACTCTGCCTCCATCTTCAGATAACAGGACTATTCAGTTGTATCCAGCTGATACAGCCAGCATCTTTGTCCCTATATGAAAAATCTGGATGATGGATAATGTCCAAAAAGTAATTAACTGTATTAATATACAATTGTCATGAACTGGCTGGCAGTAGAATAGTTGGTTGAGACACTATGCTACAAGCTGGAAGGTCATGGATTCAATTCCCGATGAGGTCAGTAGATCTTTTAAATTGATATAATCCTTCCAGTCACACTATGGCCCTGGAGTTGACTCAGATTGTAACAGAAATGAGTACCAGGAATCTTCCTGGGTGTAAATGGTGGCTGGCATGTAAGGTTGACAACCTCACCACCATCTGTGAGCCGAATGTCTAGAAAATGTGGAAGCCTCGATGTCTCACAACTCTATGGGCCTCCATGGCCTGTTACGGTAATAGTTTTACCTTTCTACTTTTTATTTAAGTGGGCTGACCGTGGATCATATTTAATACGCAAGTGAATATGGCGATGGCTTGTGAACTGATGTTACATGATTGCCATCACTACAGTGGCATGGCCAGATAATGGGGAGTTTAGTGTACAAACTTTTCAAGAAAGATGAATCACCACAAAATTAAGTTAGTTCAAAGAGTTCTGGTATATACCTCCCTTAGAACTCTGGCTCTGAAGAGGGCAAATAAGTCCTTTCTAAACATCAGTAATTTGTTATCACTCTGATATGATGCAATATTCAGGAGACAGTATGATGAATAGCTCAAAATAACATATATATCCCAGTGCTAAAGAACCGCTGAAATTCAATGGAGGAATACTTTTTTTTGTACCTTAATCCTGCATCTGCTGTCCTTAATGCATGTCATACTTTTACCTCATTCCCTCCTTTGTCTCTTAAAACAGAACATGAAGTTATATCTCTGTGCTTCAGATGGCAGCACAGTTTGAACACACATTGTCGCCTGTGTGTGTACAACAGAACTATTTCCATGGAAATGGCATGAGAAAAAGGTAATAATTCATATAGTCAATCATAAACTGAATCCTATTATTTATAAACTGTTTACAGAAAAAGTACCTATTTATAGGTATGGCTCATGCTTACCTTACTGACACGACTTGATTTACAACTGATCACTGAGAAGTTACCACGTCCAACTAAAGGAGAAAAAAACAAGAATTACATTTAATATTTACAAATTCTGGTTCTTAATAACTCACTATGAAGCCCAGCCCTACAGAAAATGCAAGAATTACCACACTTTTTTAATCTGCACTTACAAGAGAGCTTTCTGTGCCTCAGACAACAAGAAAGTCTTGCAAATAAAATATTTTACATGCTACTGCCACTCTTAAGGGTTCAAATGAGACCCATTCACAGTGCTGTTAGTGAATATACTCCAGCAGCTGACCATCAACTGGACAATTGTACAGGCACATTGTTAACAGATGGGAACAGTTGAACATGGTTAAACATCAGCATTCCAGGTGTAATCTGTCCAGACAGAATCAACAAGCCATCATGCACTTCTGTTTGTAATCAGGTGTCATCTGAACATCCTCCTATATATGAATTTACACTCACTAGATAACCATCCCCATTCAGATTCACTTTTCCCTTGGTCCTGTTTAACATACTGTGATAACAGTTTGTTTATTATGCCACCTAACATTGAAGCCTTCTACAGTGCCATCTATCAGGAAATAACTGAAGTACAAATTGTAATATTTGACACTGCACAAAATTCATTTTTCCGTACTCCTAGAGGCTAATGTGAGAACCGTAAGAATTGGAAACTGCCTTCCCCATCAAAAATGTTTGAGGGATTATAATACCTATACAAACTCTGTGGCCTGTAGTCTGCAAGCAAACTATACCGACCGAGCAATTGCCGCTTGTCGGCGAAGTTAGTGCCAACTTTTGTGGATAGAGGGTGTCGCATGGTTGTTGCAATGGATCCCCATGGCTGTTAATTTCGGGTTTCTAGACCAGAGCCAATATTTCCTTGAAATACCTCCTCAATTATCCTCACAAGGTTGAGTGGACCCAATTCCAGACCCACTACTTCTCAGAAATTCTGGTAGCGCCAGGAATCGAACCCGGATCTCTGGATCTGTAGCCAGGAACTCTGACCACTACATCACAGAGGCGGTCATTATAATACCAATAAACTAACTAACTCTATAGAGCTCAATCCTCCTTGCGAAGCCAATAGCTGGTTAGCCATTCAAGAAATATCCAGAATTTTATGGAACCCGGAGGTTCATAAACACATTCACAAGAGACTGCCACTGGTCCCTACCCTGTGCCAGATGAATTCAGTCCACAAATTCTGTGTCTTTTTATGATCCATTTTAATAATATCCCCATCAATGTTTAAGTTTTCTTGATGGTCTCTTTCCTTCAGACTTTCATACAATATTCTGTATGCACTTCTCTTCTGAACATGCAAATAATTAAATTCTGGTACATGAAAATGAGTGTGACTTACCACTGCTAATAGCAAATTCCTTCCCACTCAAAATGTGGTGCAATAAATTTTTCATCTCAAATGGAGACAGGTTCAACAAGTGTTCAGATGCTTCTTCTCCTGTACAGATCAGCGTTCGAGAGAGTTCAGTGGCCATCACCTATAACATAAAGATAATAAGAACAGCAACAAACAGGGCTATATTCTGCTAATGGACAATAATATGATGTAGTGGCACCATTTTTGGTAAAAATCCTAAAATTTATTGGCCCAACTCATCTGTCACATGTTAGTATCAAAACCTTTCTCCCTAGAAGTATAACAGCACTCATGAAGATACCATACAATACTATCACTGACACTAACCGTATTATTACGACACTTGCCTGAATAATCAAACCAACTCGTAGCCTCAACATTTCTAGGAAGAGCTGTGGTTCTGTCCTTATGAACATTGCCAAATAAACTAGTAACTCCTGTAAAAGACAAAACACAGTTTCATTATAGGACACAACCCATCATCCTCATAAGCGAGCAGTTACATGCACGTGTGTGCAGTTGTCATGGACCACTTCATCTTCTTGTGGGCTACTTCACTGCACTATCTGTATCTGGATTATATAACATGCAATGGTACCATGACTGATGATTTACACTAACCAACATATGATACCACCCTAGTGGAGTTGGTGGTCTCCCATCAGGTGCCTCCCCAGGTGGCGAGTAGGGGAATGCTCATCACCTACATGCGTGGAGAGTACCGGCGAAATAAAATACTCGGGGCAGACCAAAACCACTGCTGCTGCCCTGCAGCTGTAGCAGGAACTACAGGGTCTATGGGTATGGGTCCCTGACAGAAGAATCCCTTGTCCTCCTGATAGGGGGTTACGCATAAGGTTAACTAGTTAGTTAGTTATTTAGAGAGGGTGGGTTTCCCCATGCACCGCAACCAGTTTGATCTATTGTGCTTCCCTCTTTGATATTCTACCAGTCTCTTTACCATACCGATAAATGGTGCGTACCATCAGTCCCGCCGAGCAAGCGAGTTCGACCACTTGCTTAGCGGTGTCTATAATGCTTCCCCCATCTATCAGAGGCCTTAGAGACTACTGTTGGGTGGGAACGTCCTGGAATTTGGCTCAGTGATCCCCTTTGGGGATATGAGGTTCTTTTACGTGCTGTAAAGTTACGACACGGGACACACAGCTTAAAGTCCCTCCCGGAGGACTTGTTCCCAGAATTTTTCAGCCCTTAAAAATTCGACGACCTCCGCCGGGTATTTGAACCCGCGTACCACGAGTCATGAGGTGGGAACGTTACCTCTAGACTACGGAGGCCGCTTAAGGTTAACTACCTCATCGTGTAAAATAAATCAGTTCAGAAACCTAAAGCATGGCCTCAGATGGGAAGGCCAACAAATGAACGACATGACATGGACAAGGTTAAGGATTTAACTGTTGCAATCTGGTATGTCAGATGACATCAGAGAAGACTGGAGATCCACTGCAATGGACAGAGATGCTTGGAGGCTGCAGGCGCAGGAGGCAAAGGCCCACAAACGGCTGTAGAGCCAGTTGGTGTGTGGTGTGTGTATATATGATACCATGTTCTTTATTTAGCTAGCAGAATAGAATGACTTGTTTATTTCTTTCCTTGAGCTCTCAGCTCTCTCGTGTAAGGATATAAAACTTGCCTATGCTGCAATATGTATATTTTACTACAACAAATGATGAACATGATGGGACAGCACTGGTGTTTCTTTGAATTTTCCAAAACAGAACACTGTAATCATAAAATTCCTCCTTGAGGACTACTGCCCTATTGTGGAGAGGAGGTCTGTGCACCTCAATGATCTGGACAGCTATGCTGGTGGGAGCATAAGCTCCTGGTAATGACACCATGCCAAACAGGTCAAAGGGTAAGGGCTAAACGGAGTGCAGTCCCTGGTCCTCTAGGATGTGGGTAGGGCATGCAGCTAATGGCCCCACCCTGGCAAAATTTACTGTTCCAAAACCACAGAGGAGACCAAGACCCATAAAGGATTTTAGTGTCAATAAAGAAGGAACATAAAATTGGGGCAATTTTCTGTAGTCAGGAGTTCAAAAATATAGTGCAAATTTGGGAAAAATGTAAATTTGTGGACTCAAGATCACCTAAAATGTAATGTTTCTCTCTCTAGGCATTCAGCTAGGGGCGGGAGCCAAACTGGGGGAAAAAACATTAAATCTGATGGCACACATAAAAGAATTTCATGGTAACCCAGGAGAGAGAAAAGCACATCTCCCTAACAGGACTCTGAAGGAGGGAAGTTTGTTTTGTAAGCGCCCCAAAAAATATTACCTGCGTCAACATGGCAGTGCTCTCGTCATCACCATATGCTTGATGAATCAACTGTCGCAGCTCAATTTCAGGCAGAGGTGCTGTGATAGTGTGTTCGTTTGCAGGAGGCATGCCGACGGTCACCTACACAAACATGCAGCCCTTTGTCATGCCCATAAAATCAATGTTTCTTACCTGCTCCTTATTCAGACACAGTATCACTATATATGCTGTAGAACCTGAAGTTCTCACAGCCATCAGCGTTAACATTAGTCTTCTGGGATGCAACACCATACAGTCTGGTAGACAAGTATCAATGTTTAGAGGAACCTGCTGCTTCCAGTTTCAGGGTAGAAGAGTAAGCCGCACAGAGACAAATGTTACGAATGCGGGGAATGGAGGAATGTGATTGGGGTTAAGACCAAACAAATTTGATTTTTTTTTTCCTCCTTAACCCACCTTCCCTTTTCCCATGCTTCCAAATGTCTTCTCACTTGGCACCTGCCCTTTGCATGACCACTGATTCATACTGGTTTGCTCCTAGCTCAGGTGCAATCCTCCCTTCCCCATACTCGTACCATTTTTCCTTGTGCAGCTTATGCAAAAGACAGATCTACAAGTCCCTCTGAAACATTGGTACCCGTGTACCAAACTACACAGCATCACGTCCCAGGAAATGGTAATCTCTAGATGATCATAGATTATATTTCCAATTTCATAACAGTATATGGACTAAAACACTCATTATCATCATAAAGAAATCTGCTAAATCAAAATAAATGTCCAACTACAACTGCAATAATAGTACCAATAACAGCAGATTCATGGCAATGCATTACACATACCAGTGGACATGCAGCATGCATGGAGGAAATGAAACACTGATCTAAAATGTTGGCAAGGAAACTTCAAAGGAAGAAATCACTTGGAACAGCAATACATGTAAGGATAATATTAAACTGGACCCAAGAAAAATATGGAGTGAAGGCGTGAACTGGGTTCAAAATCAGAATAGGGTCCTATGATGGGATTTTATAAACACTGTGCCGAAACTTCAGGGATTTTCTTGACCACCTGGGCGACTATCAACTTTTGAACAAAAACCTTGTATTATGCAGTCAGCTAGTTAGTTAACACTTATCATCGGGGAATAGGGGATTTTAAATATCCTGGTTCCATTCATGTGGTGGCAATATTTTAACTTTGAGGTAACAGATTTGTAATGCATTGGAAGAGAAGCAAATATATCACCTGTTTTTGCCGAACCAAGAGGTCTGTAACTGCCTTTGCCAGATCTTCCACTCTTTTCCCCAGCATTCCAGCTGTATGGCGGACCAGACCCCAGAGTTTCTGCTGACAGGCCTTTTCATACAGCACTTTCAGCAAGTCCTTAACCGTCACATTCTGAACATCTTCCACAATTCCTGCGGCAAACATTATGACACATCAGCCAGTAAACTAACTCTGCTCTGTGTCTGAAAGGGGCACATGTGTAAATAAAATAAAATAAAGAAAAAAAGTATAGGTATCCCTGTAATAGGCCATGGAGGCCCATAGGGTTGTGAGATGTTGAAGTTTCCATATTATCTAGACAACCGGCTCATAGATGGCGCTGAGGTTGTCAGCCTTACGTGCTGGCTGCCCTTTACCCCCAAGCATATTCTTGGTACTCATTTCTGTTACAGGCTGAGTCAACCCCATGGCCATAGTACGGCTGGAAGGATTAGGTCAATTGAAAAAATCCAATGACCTTATCAGGACTTGAACCCGTGACCTTATGGCTTGTAGCATAGTGCCTCAACCAACTACACTACCGTGTGCCCCTTACATGTGTAAATACAACTATTAATTAGCAACACCCACCTGTGAACATGGATGGCTACAGCAACCAGCAAATATGACTCAGCCATCAGCATATAGCTGTAGTAGTCACAAATTGGCCAAAAATAAATACACAGTTATATACTTTCATGTTCTTATAAAAAGCCAAAATAAGTGGGTGTTATTCATCCATAACCTCAAATTAACCACAATATATGCAATTATGATATGTAATGTGTTACTTGTAACATCTCGAGATAATCATCAGCAACAACAACATGCTTAATGTGAGCCTGGCAAGGGGCATGTCCCATGGCTTTACAGTGTACTCCTGCCAACCATCACATCACTATTACATTTTAATTTTATATGTACTGAGGGTAAGGCTTCATAACCTGATGATTACAGGCCCAATTACTTCCACATCTTCAACCCATAAGCAATACAGCAACTTTACACATGCCTTACTGTATCTATTTAGAGATTCATTTACAAACCTGTGTTGAAGTCAAGTCCCTGTGTATCAACTAGGTACTGCAAGATGTCTCCTTGCTCTTCCAGGTGTTCTGTTTCTCTGAGCATTGTCAGAAGTTCTTCAACTTCTGTGTCAGCATACTGTGCTGCCTCATTAGTCATCCTGCAATAAATCAGCACTTTAAACTGGCTGATTCAGAAAGAGTTCTTCTCTTTTTGTGTCTGGATAATGTTCTTTTATTCTAGATTCAGCTCAGTACATTAAATTCAGGAATGTAGGATCTCAGGTTCTTGCAGCAGTGGTTATGAAGTGCTCTGTCTTTGAGGATATAACACCAAGCAGTCTGCTGAAAGTCAACTAATGTTTCAGAGAAACATGTCTCCTCTGCCTTCAAGGTCAAAGAAGAAGCCAAACACACCTATGCTTCATGCTGGTTTCTGGTTTGGTTTATTCTCTGATCCAAAAGATAGAGTTGACATGTTCTTCCAATACATTGGTTGACATCCAGTGGCCTATGTGGCATTATATTCCAGATGTGGGAATTCTTAAAACTCATGATGCTTGTTAACACTCACTTTCAAATCTTTTTATCTTTCCATCTTTTATCCAGAAATATAAGGATCATGATATACAAACCTATAACTTTCCATACTGTTTGAAATGGCATTAACCCGTTCCCGTGGTTCGACGTGTATGTTTCGTCAGGGATTTAAATCGTCTGGGGGGGTTCGACGTGAATGTTTCGTCCAGCTGCA